GCGGAGGGGGAGGATGAGGAGGAGGAGGAGGAGGGGAAGGAATGAAAACGACGGGCAGGAGGGGGAGCAACGAGAGAATGAGGCGGAGGAGGACAATGCGGAATCGGGCGAGTCGATGCCGCGCGCAGTCGTCCACAAACACAACCGGGTCGATCAGATTGCGGAGAGCCGTTATCCTCTTCCGTCTCCTCATCCTCCCCCTTCTCATCCTCCTCCGCGCTGAGATTTCCACCCGAACTTCGAGGATCGAAGATGTTTGGAAGGCTCTTGGACGTTTTTGACACGTTCGGGCCTCGGGGAGCCTCTGGAGGCCTCCGTGGATCCTGAGGGGTGCGGATTCGCGCCGAAACTAAAACTTGCCATATCGTCCTCCTCCTCCTCCTCCTCCTCCTCATATCGGCGGCGAGCGAAGGGGGGAAGCGAGGAGAAGGCCCTCTGAGACGGGGGCGGGGCTTCTCAGAAGCCCTCCGGCCTTCTGAGAGGATTTCTTCTGCGTCTTCGGGGAAGGCTTAGAACACCTCTCCGAAGGCCGGGGGGGACTTCCGAGCCTTCTGAGACGGACCGTCCCTCTCCCTTCTCCCCTGGGCTGGTCGCTGGTCCTAATCCTCATCGCCCTCAGCTCCTCCACCACCAGTTTCGCGTCTTTTTCTTCTTCTCCACCTCGGCCTCCTCCTGCCTCGTCGTGCTCCCACTCCCTGCTCGCATGCCGCGTCCCATCATGCTATCACACAAGGTCACCTCATCCTCGACTGCCTCATCCCGGCATCGCCATCCACCACCACTCCACCATGCCGAATCAGAAGGGATGTGAGTGGTTACGCTTGCTTGCCAAGAGACCGTTTTTGTGAATCGGCGATCGCCCGAGTTATACGTGGGGGGGGGGGTGTAGGGGACCGGCCGATAACCTAACCTTCGCGCTGTGTGCAGCCCTGCATATGCCCGCGCCCCCCCACCCCGGACCTGCACAACCTGCAAGGTTAGGTTATCTTAGGGGGGGAGGGGGGAGAAGCCCGATAACCAGGGTTATCGCGGGACCCCCAAAAAACAGTCTCTTACACTTCCTTGCCAGACCGATCGACCACTGACGTGGAGGCGGCCGGTCGGTGCTCTCCCCAAGAGGAGAAAAGGTGTCCGCCTTTCTCGCGCCAAGAAGCCGGGGCCAGCTCCATCTCGCTCTCGTAGGGCCCGATGAGGATGCCGTGCCCCTCGTCGCGCAGGTAGAACGAGCCTCGCTGCGAGGCTTGGATTTATCCATGTCCACCGGCTGGGAAGCGACGCCCCTGGTGCCCCAACGGGCGTTGGATGTGGGCCCCCAGTGGCCCGACGATATCCATATCTACCGCCTGCCGAGGTCCCCGAAAATTGATCCCTCCAGGCGGTGGTCATGTATAAATTCCCGCCTCGGACTCGCGCAAGTCGAAGCGTCATGCTTCAGAGTGCCCTGCTCCAGAGCAGGGTCAGGGGTCGAAGTGGAGCACGAAGGAGGACGAGGATGGTGGACCCACGCGGACCGTGCGATCTCATCGTCCTTGCGCCGTTGTAGGCTGCACGTTCCAACAACAAACTCCCTCCTCACGTACGCAAACGACCCCTCTTAGATCCAACGGCTCCAACATCTCGCTGATATTCGAGCTCAACCTTCCCCCGATGCGTCCCAAGTCCCTCGCCCGCTCCGCATGCGATTGCCTTGCCTAACGTGCTCCCACAATCACAGAATACTCGTGCCGTTAGGTGTGTGAGAACCGTGAAGCGTCTGCCGACTAAGGCGGACGATGCCGTAAAATAGACAGCGGACCCTCCACCCGCGCTCACGTTCCAGCTCATACTCCCTCCTTCACCCCTCCCCTCTCCTCCTCTTGTCCCTTCCTCCTTGACCCCTCCTCCTTCCCCGCTCCCCCTCCTCCGCCTCCGCTCGCCCCTTCCTCTTTCCCCCCTCCCTTCCCCCCTCGCCGCTCGCCCCTCCGCCGTTCCTCTCCTCCTCTTGCCCCTTCTCCCTGCTCCTCTTGCCATTCCTGCTTCCCCCTTTTCCTTTTGCCCGTCACTCCCCCCCCCGCCTCTCCACAACGCTCCCCCCGTCCCCCATTCCCCCCCCTCACCTCCACCTCCTCCTCCTCCTCCTGCTCCTGCTCCTCCTCCTCCTGCGGCTCCTAGTGCCTCGGCAACGCGAGGTGTTCCTGCAGTTCCGGCGCCCGCTCCTGCTCCTGCTTGTTCTCGCCCCAGTTGCTGTGTTTCTCGCTATCCTGCGCCTGCTCCCCCTCCTCTGCCTCTGCTCTCCCCCTCCCGTGCCCCTTCCAATTGCCTCTCCCCTCCTCCTCATGCTGCTGTTCCTCACTGCCCTCCTCCCCCATCGGACAATCCCAAGCACCGACATGGCGGTATAGCGGGCTTGGCGCTTTGCTGGACGCGTCTTCGCATATGCATATATATATATATATATGTATATATAGATATGTGTATATGTATATATATATGTATAAAGCTATAAAGTGTTTCCCCCCGCCCCCCCTCCCGCCAACAGGGGCCTATCTCTTCTGGCATGTCTCTGCAATCGCTCACTATTTGACGTTCTCGCGTCCTTCCATCTCCGCTCCCGCGATACCTTCATGTGTATGTATGTATGTATTTGTGTGTGTATGCATGCATGCATGCATGCATGCATGCATGCATGTATGTATGTATGTATGCAGATATGTATATCGGTATGCGTGTAGGTATGCATGCATGCATGTATGCATGTCTGTGTGTATGGTTGTACGTATATATGTATGCATGTATATATGCATGCATGTATGTATGTATGTATGTGTGTGTACGTGTATACATGCATGCACGCATGCAAGCGTGCATGTAGGTAAAACCGCATGATTGTATGTATGGATGCATGCACGCATTAATGCATGTATATATGCGTGTATGCATGAATGCACACATGCATATTAGTATGTACGTATGTAAGCATGTGTGTATGTATGTACTTACATATGTGTTTGTGTGTGCATGTATGTGTAAATGTCTGCATGCATCACTGCAAGTGTAACTGTCTGTACGCATGTATGCAGCTATGCATGCATGCATGTATGTATGTGCATATGGTTGTATGTATCTGTATGTGCCGATGCACATGTACATATGTATATAAGTGTGGCTGAATTTATGTATGCATCTATGTAGACATACACACGCATACACATATACAACCATACGATGATACATACACACATGCATATACATGCATACATGAATGTATGCATACATTCATTCACACCTATATACATATATACATATATAATACTACATACATACATACGTACATACCCACCTACCTACCATGCATCCATACCGGCAACATACGTTCATGCACACACATTCGCACATTCATACACACATGCACACAGCATACCTACACATACACACATGCATTCAATACACCCATACACACATACATACATGCATACATACATGCACACATCCACACATGCACACATACATACATGCATGCATGCATGCATGTATGCATACGTGTGCGCATACATGCGCACACATTCATGCAACACATACAAACAAATCCATGCACGTACATGAACATGCATATACATACATACAAACATCCATTCATACATGCACCCATACGTACATACACACATGCATACATACATACATGCATACATACATACATACAAGCAAACATACATACATACATACATACATACATACATACACACACACGTACAACCATACCTACCTACCTACCTACCTACCCACCTACATACGTACATACATACATACATACAGACACATACATGCGTACAATCATGCATTCAAACACACATACAGACAGACAGGCAGGCAGACAGACAGACATGCATACATGCATGCAAACATGTATACGTACATAGTTGTACTCATGCAGTGGGTACCTCTTTACATAGCGAGCTGACCTGACACCACTCTTGGTTCTGGGTCTGTCCGAGGAGCCTGAGTCTGAAACGCACCAGAAGGGTCCACGACGGTCCCAGACGGCCCCCAAAAGGCCCCAGAGGGCCCCAGGAGGCCCCAGGAGGGCCCGACGAGCGCCCCCCTACGGCCACGATGGGCCCGAGATGGGCCCAAGATGTCCACTCCAGGGCCCAACGGGCTCCCGAGATGGGCCAATAGGGGTCTCGAAGACGACTCCCGAGAGGCCCCCGGGAGGCACACATCATGGGTTGCCCTCAGGTTTCGATGCCAATTTCGCATACTCGGCTTCTCGGTCTCGAGAGCGTCCGAGACAACCGACGAGGTCCCCGAGATTGCTCTAAGATGGCCCACGAGGACGCCCAAGACAGCCCAACTGAGCCCCCTGACCGCTCCAAAACAGCCCCACGAGGCCCCCAACATGGGACCAAGACGGCCCCAAAGGGCCCCATGACGGGCCCAGGAGGCCCCCGAGACGGCTTGAAACCGGCCTCAAGAGACCCCGAAGAGGGCCCACTCGGGACCCTGCATCAGTACGGCGACGGTCAGAATATCTCTTCTTTTTTTCTCCCCCCCTCTCTCTCTATATATATACTCTTTGATTATGTATGCATGTCTGTCTGCCTGCCTGTCTGTCTGTCTGTCTGTCTGTCTGTCTGTCTGTCTGTCTGTCTGTCTGTATGTCTCTACGTATGTATGAGTGAATGTATGTATGTTTGTATGTATGCATACATGCATGCATGCATGTATGTATGTGTGTATGCACGTGTGTGTATGTATGTATGTATGCATGTATGTATGTATGTATGTATGTATGTATGTATTTAGGTAGGCAGGTAGGTAGGTAGGTAGGTATGTTTGTTTGTATGTATGCATGTATGTCTACATATGTACATGTACATGGATTCTGCGAGTTACACGAATCGTCACAATATAGCACAATGAGTTCGAAAGCGCACGACACGGCGGTGGCTACGAGGAAGGCCGCTCCACCCAACTGCCATCACGATTGGTGGACTTCTCCCTTCGCAGGAGCGTGAGACCGGCCGGGGCGCTGGGCAAGCAGTTCGCTCAACCCGGTCTTTCGCGTCCAGCTCGGCAGACACCTTTCGGGTCGGGCGAAAGGGGGGGATAGCAAAGGGGGGGATTGAGAATCAGCTACCGTAGCTGATTTTCCCGGCGCCTCCCGGCGCCGGGAGGCGGCCATGTATCGAGTAATGGACCCTTCGGCGGGGCCGAGACAGCTGCATGCAGCAAATTTCTTAACCCCCCCATTCCCCATCCCCCCTTTCGTCCTTCCCGAAACTTAACTGCTGAGCCTCATATGCTTTGTAGGCTTAAATCGGGCCTGTCCTCCTACAGGGGGGCCTTGGACGAACATTGAAAAATAACCCAAAATATGCCCCCAAATGGTCAAGCAATATGAAGAAAACGTTTCCAGACTGTGCTTTGACAATTTTTGAATATTCCTCCTGTAGAGGGACAGGGCCGACTAAGTTCTACGATCCTGCACCATGGAGTGCCAGCACTTCGTCCGCCTTGTATCGGACCAGTGGGCGACAAGACCACGGCGAGAACCGAAGGTCGTGTCACACACACACACACCATGCACGTAGCCGACGCAAGCGCGAGGAAACGCTGCTCGCATCGCACACCGTGCTTTATGCGTCTATGCTGGGCCAGCTGGCGCTCGGAGGCAATCGCCACCGAGCAATCCGCGCAGGCGAACGGTCTACAGACGGGCTCCACACGCTGGTGTAGAACTTTGTCACAAACTGAAACCTCTAGGTGGAGGGCCACATCTTGTTCCCCATTGAGCGACTCATCACATATGAACTGGCACCCCGATTCAGGATCCCTTGCGGGATCTGGAAACACTGGAGCACGGCGCGACACCCGTCTCTGGCCCTGAGCCACCTGCCGGAGCCACGCCGAAAGCTGGGCTGCACCGTTGCGCTCGGGCCTTTGCCGCAGCACAGCTGACAACGATGGAGGGCAAGCGCGGGCAAAACGGCCTAAGTAGATAGGCCTGGCATGCGCCAGCACACAACCAGTGGAAAGGACGCGGTGCAGAGTGCGATGTTGAAGTCGCTCCCGGCGCCGGGGCCTAGGCGAGGGGCTCCGAGCATCCCGCGGTAGCCGCGAAGATACACGCCGCTGAGGAGCGAAAGAAGCGGAGCAGTGGGCAGACAATGTGAAAGTCAAACCACAAGCCTTGGCGCGGACGCCAAACGGCTCGGCGCGTCGCACCGCGACGTTCGGTGCGGCGCTCGACCCTCGCCGCGCGCAACGGTGCCCCGAGCCGACGGTGGCTCGGGCGTTTCCCTGCGTCGTCGGCCTAGCCGAGCGCCCAGTGCGAACGCCCCAAGCCGAATGGCCGCCGAGGGGGCGGTGGGCGGGCAGAAGCCGCGCCGCAAGTGCCCCTCGCCGGGCGCGGCGGGACACCCCCACCAACCGTGCGCGCGCGACGCCCCTCCCAATCCTGGGCGGCGCACGCGCCCCCTCGCGCGCTCGCTCATGCAAACAAACAGTTGTAAGTGAACAAGGCGATGCGGGGACAGAGGGGCGCCCTTTAGCACCCCTGTCAACTCGATGGCCTTAGACGCGCCGCATGTGCAGATGGAGTAGTCCAGAGTGTTCCAGCCCCCGCGCGGCCCCCCCGCCAGTCGCCTCAATGATAGCTCCACAAAGTTTTTCAGCAAACCCAGGCGCAACCATGTGTTCAGGAGGGAAAATCCAATCGCCACCCAAGATGGCCTGCATCCCAGAACTCTTGACCACGGTCCCCAGAGTACTCAAGATGCCAACATTTCGCTCAGAGAGACCTTCGCTGTCGCGCATATACACCGAAGCCGCTGAGAGGGGGGGCCCTCGAGCAGGGTGGGCAAATTCGTTGCGCGCCCGTCCTCCCACCGGGGTGGGGCCCCACAAGGGCTCATGCAGCCCCGAGTGCATGCGGGCCAGGGTGACGACACCTCCCGAGGAGCCTTCCCCATTGCCTGAAATAGTTGACGACGTGATCACCTTCCACCCGCGGCGCGCGCGCCAAGAGATAGCCTCGCGAACAGAATAGCCGCATCGCTCGCGATGATATTCCTGATGGCAGACCACGCGCGACTCCGTCCTGCTGAGCCATCCCTTGAACGAATTCCAGCAGGTCGCGCTGCATGATTCCACTCTCAGGGACAGTCCGTCCGTGCAAGGCGGGAGGGGAGGGCATCTACAAGATCGGAAAAACTGAGACGCCGCTGCGCTCGTCGCCCCCCCTGGGTGGTTAAAATGACAAGCAACGCTGGGGGATGCGCAGTCAACGTGGCGCCTGGGCCCTCCACCCGTGGCGGGGGCGGCCTCAGAATCGGAAATCGCAGCGCTAGCTCCCGTCCGCCGCGATGCTGCTCGCGAGCGAAGGCAGGAGCTCCGAGACGCCGAGTCGGCGGCCTGCGCGTGGGCAGCCTCCGCCAGCGAGTGCTCGCACTCACCCGTGGACTCTGACGTCCCCGATGTGGCGCAGGCGCCCCCCGTCGGACCAGTTGGCGCGGTGCTGACCAGCGAAGGCGAAGACGCGGTCGTGCAAGAGACCTCGCAGGACCGGGAGTAATCGCACTCGCCTCCGCCCTGATCATCTCGCACTTCAGGAAGGACAAAACTGGCGCGGAGACGCCGCCGACTCGACTGCACCCCGCGCTTCTTCAGAATGCCTCGAAGCTCTTGGCTAAAGGCGCGACTAATCGCTCTTGCCTTTGCCCGCGGCCTTCGCTGCGCCCACCGCGGCGCGCGCCTTGGCCCTGAGCTCCGACGCTGCCGCCGCGCCCTGCCCGCCTGCGCCGGCCGCAGCCTTGGCGGCAGCAACCGCAGCTTCACCGGCACTTGGCGCCCTCGAAGCCGCACCAGCCGCCGCGCTCTGCTCCGTCTTCACCTTGGCGTCGCTGTGCGCCGCCTGCTGATCGTCCGTCTTCCTCTTCTTTGCTGCCAGCCGCTCCTGCAGCGCCTGGTGCTCCTTCTGGAGTGCTTCGCCCTTCGTCCTGACCTCGCCGAGGAAGTGCGTCGCCATGCTTCTGAAGTGGTCGAGCATGGCCTGCTTTCGTTTCTTGGCTTTCCTCCAGCGCTTCGGGCCCAAGCACCTCGAACTCTGCGTATCCGAACAGGCCCTCGTCGCCCAGGTCAAGATCCGCCAACTCTCCGTCCATGAGCTTTGCCAGCGACAGCTTCGGTTTTGCCGAGCACAGCTCCACAACGCCAGCGCCCGCAGCCATCGCCGCCACTGCAGCCTTGTAGTCCACCTCGCCGCCTCCAGCCGTGTGTGCAAGGACTGTGCCGCGCCTCGCTGCGTCTCGACCTGCTCCAGGAGGTCCGCCAACATTTCTTGCTCATAGCCAAGTACTTGGTGAACTGCTGGGCCTTCGAGATAGCTTGATTCGCCCTGGTCCGAGCGGGAACTGTCGGCTTCTTCTCGAGCGTCGCTTTGCACTTCTCTGCTGTGGCAGAGTCGCCGCTCTCTGCCAACTGCACCATGGACTTGAGCTCCTCCACTGAAAGCTCCTGCTGCTGGGAATGTGCCGCCTTCTGCTTTGCAACAGTGGCGTCACGACGCTTCGTTGCCATGGCCTCATCTCCGTTCTGTTCGGCGAAACGCACACATGCTTCCAGCGCGCCGATGCGCAGGGAGCTTGACTCTGGATGAGAGGCAAAAGTGCTGGCCACAGGAGCAACGCCATCACCGCCAGTACTTGTTTGACACCATAGAGCGTTCTGGAACTTACCACCTCTCCTGGCTCTTCCGCAATGCTTGCGCCATGTCCAATGTAGCAAGTTCTTGCCGCATCGACAGTCAGCGTGCTGGCACCGCCCCATTCAGGGGAACGTAAGACCTGGGTACAGGGGACTCGGAAATCCCCGACGTGGTCGTCAAACAAATGACGAGGCCGAGCCTGCATTTTGACGAGGCCTCCCGCTGCAGACATCCCACGAAACTCCTCCTCGTCAAAATCCGAGGCGCGGTCGTCAAAAAACGATGGCGAACCCGAGTCCCGGCAAACCCGGGTCTTACGCTCCCCCGACCCATGTTCGCAGGGGGCGGTTGGCGAGAGGAGGAGCGACCTCTGCCCTGCTGCTACCCTGCCATACCTGAGACTGATTCGTCGTGCTGCCCACGGAGCAGGGCCCTCGCGGACACTCCGCGGAGAACCTTCGCGCTTCTGCCCTGCGCCGCCGCAGCCGCCTGTGCCAAGCAGGGGAGGCGGACCTATCGCGGCGCGCCGAGCCGCCCGTGGTTGCACCCTCGCCCTGGGCAGGGCAAGAGGGCTGGGGTTCAGAAGATACAGGGCCCGCCCCAGGCCCGCCCCCTGACCACCTATGATAAGAGGAGGGGGGAGGAAGAGGAGGAAGAGCAAGCAAGCAAGACCTGGGCAACTGGAGTCTGTCACTGTCTGGCCTCTGCATCGTGAGACCTTAAGCCTGACAAGCGTTGCTGGTTGGCTCATTGCGCATCTCGAGCTAGCCTGCGGGACTTTATAGCCCACCACGGACCTTCAAAGCCCGCTTTAGCACGAAGGCGCACCACACTGCATTCGACACTCTGTGAGCTGAGGCTTAGGGCACTTGGGCCTATCGCCTCAACCTCAGGGCAGAAGGGTGCGGAGGGAGGCCCTCAGGGATCTGGGGCTCCGAAAGCAAACTAAAAAGAAACACACAGGAGCAAGTGCCAGCTCCGCCGCTCACATGAGGGTTACGGTGCGCCTTCGTGCTTTAGCATTCCTTCCCTGCCCTCACACCCCCTCCCCCCCACCCACCCGCCCACAGGGAACACGATGCGCATACTACTGCATCTGCTGCCTCCACTGGATCGAAAAACTTTGCTGCTCCTGTAGATTGTGAAGCAGTCGGTGAGCACTCATCTCTCACCGCTTTGTCTCTCCGTCGGCGTGAGAACACTGTCTTCCCTTCCTCCAGCCCGAGGAACACCCCGAACCAGGGAACAGGAGAAGAAAAGGGACAAGAAAAAGGAAGAGGCGAGAGACCACCCATCCACAGACGGCCCACGAACAACGTCTGCTAAGCTGGACACTGGCGTTAGCCATTTACTAGATGGTGTCAGCTCCGCCTCACTTCGTCTGGCGCTTGAGGTCTCTGAGCAGCTGTCTGGCCCTCTCACTTCCCGCCTGCGCCATTCTGCGAAGCCCTTCTACATCGATTGCTCCTGCACTGATGCCTGAACTGCGCGCACCAGAGCTCATGTTGGTGGACTGCCCTTCTTCACTTGTCCGCCGCTTGCCACCAATGCTTTCATCACTTGCATCTCGACCTGATCGCCCGTGTTGTCCCTGTATCGCTGAGTCTGCTGATACCTGTGGAACGGGCTGGTGGCTATCGGGCTCAACATCACGTGACTCTTGTCCTGGTCCGCCTTCTGATTGTCCTCGTTGTACTTCTTCTTAGAGGAGGAAGAGGAGGAGGAGGAGGAGGAAGAGGAGGAGGAGGAGGAGGAGGAGGAGTGAGAGGAGGGGGAGGGGAGTAGGAGGAGGGGAGAAGGATGCGGAGGATGCGGATGCGGGATGCGGATGCGGATGCGGAGGAGGATGAGGAGGAGGAGGAGGAGGAGGAGGGAGGAGGAGGGGGCAAGGAGAAAGGCGGACGCATGCCGGGCAGCGGGCGTGCTCCGCCTTTCAGGTCGCGGAGGACTGGCAGCTGGTGGCCGTGCTCCTTGTGGTAGGCCTCGACTTCGCCGATGGTCTCAGTGATGAGGTACTGCGGGCGCTCCTCCTCCCTCCTCCCTCCTCCCCCCCTCCTCCTGCTCCTGGTCCTCCTTCTCCTCCTCCTCCTCCTCCTCCTCCTGCTCCTCCTCCTCCTCCTCCGTCTTCCCCTCCTCCTCCTCTTCCTCCTCCTCCTCCTCCTCCTCCTCCTCCTCATCTTCATTCTCCTCCTCATCCTTCTGCACCTCCTCCTTCCCCTCCTCCTCTTCCTCCTCCTTCTCCTGCTCCTCCTCCTCCTCCTCCTCCTCCTGCACCCTCCTCCTCATCATCCTCCGGAGCCATCCGCAGCCCTCCTCATGCCTCACGTTTTCTGTCATGTGTGCTTCTACTTCCTTTTCTCGTCCTTCTCATCATTGCGCTGGAAGGCCCATCAGAGGCCTTCTCATCCTTGTCTTCATTCTCTCACCCTCTTCCTCCTCATCCCTACCGCGCGGACGAAGACGAGATCGAGTTCACGACCCGCCTCTGTTCAGACCGCTCGCTGAACTGCAGCGGAGCGTGAACTCGACCTCCCCCTACTGCGCGGACGAAGACGATGTAGAGTTCACGAACCGTCCCAGTAACACCAGTCGTCGGTATTGTGACATTCCTACACTCAGTCTCCTTTCTGCTGTGCACAGGCTTGGTGGCGAGGTTTGCCGCAGGCAGCTGGATTGATGAGAATCCTCCTTGTCTGACTACCTAGCATGTTGGTAAGGTGGGGCATGCGTGTCTGATGGGAGTTCCTTCCCGTTTATGATCCCGAAGCTTGGAATCTCCGTCAGGAGGGGGGGGGTCAAAATGTGGCTCTCGCCTTAGCGCCCTGCACACTCGTCTTAAACAAATCCAGCAGAGTTGCACTGACTTTAGGGCGGTCCCTTTCAAAATGTGGCTCTCGCCTCAGCGCCGAGCACGTTCGTCTGTGGACAGAGGGCGTATTTTGCGCGTGGGTCTCGCCTAGCACCCCGCGCATTCGTCGTTACAGACAGCAGCTCCCTGGATGGAGGGCGCTTCCTTTTCAAAATGCAGCTTTCGTTCGAGACTTCCTTACCCATGTTCAAAACATCTGAAGCGGTGCAACAGCTACACGGATGGAGGGCGGCTTCTTTGCAAATCGGGGCTCGAGGCTTCCCTTGGCTTGTGACCGGGCGTTAAACCGCAGACGCACGCTGCAACGACTGAGAGCGGCTCTGTTTCAAAGCGGGACTTTTTTCGCAGGATATTTCCTGCGAGGCAGGGATTTATCCACATCCACCGCCTGGGAACCGACGTCCTGGTGCCCCAGCGGGCGGTGGATATGGAAATATTTCGGCCCCCGGGGGCCCGAATATGCCCATATCCACCGCCTGCCGAGGCTCCGAAAACTGACCCTCCAGGCGGTGGATATGGATAAATTCCCGCCTCGGATTTCCTTCGACTGTAGGACCGCACCCTGTCGCCGACCTCCTGGAAGAGTGGATGGCAGCTTCTCTCCAAAGAGGGCACTCGCGCGACCTGCGAGACCGTGGGGCGCTCGCCGTTCCGGGGGGGCACCTCGCGCAATGAGAAGGACGCGCTGTGCTTGCTTTTCATGGGGGGGTGACCGGTGACGGGTGGAAATCCTGCAGCATCGTCGATACATCTGGGTTTTGCTCTGCTCTTCCTCCTCCTTCTCCTCCTCCTCTCTGCCCTCGTCCTCGTCCTCCACGTCGCGCCACCGTCGTACTCCTCCTCACTCCCCCGTTCCCCTACTCCTGCCTCTTTCTCCTCCTCGCTCTCGCTCCCCCGTCGCCGTCTCTGGGGAAACCAAAAAAGAAAAGGCACCCGTACCGCTACTCCCCGGACCTTTCCCGGGACGCGCCCTGACAAGACTTTCGAGGCGAATCCAGCGGTGGCGACGAGGGCATCCCAGGAGGCCCCAAAAGAGAAAAACGAGCCAGGGGTAGCGGTACCCATCGGTCGGAAGCAGTAGGTTGAAACATGAAGTAGGAAAGCGTTGAAAGTAGATTGGGTGTCGGCCCGCCCCCTCGGGACGGCGGAAAAGGTGAAGCCGCTCGATCATTGAAGTAGGAAGTTGCTTAAAGTACATTGCAAGTTGGGAACCAAAAAACACCTACTTCCAACCACCGACGGGTATGGGTACATCTTCCTCCGAGACTCGGGCCAGGCGAAAGGGGGGGGATGGCAAAGGGGGGGTTTGAGGATCAGCTCACGTAGCTGATTTTCCCGGCGCCGCCCGGCGCCAGAGGCGCCCATGCATCGAGGGCCCGACGGCGGGGCCGAGACCAGCTGCCTGCAGCAGATTTCGTAACCGCCCCTTTCCCCCCCCCCCCCTCCCTTTCGTCCGGCCCGACCCATCTGCTCCGACCCCGTCTGGGGAGGCCTACAGGCGGACCTAGGCTGAAGTCGGGCGTGTCCCCCAACCGGGGAGGTTTTCGACGAAGCACAAAAAATACCCCAGAAATGCTCCCCAATGGTCCAAGGATGCTCAAAAAATAGTCCCCAGGCTATTGTTTGACTATTTTTGTAACCCCCCCTTTCCCAATCCCCCCCTTCCGTCCGGCCTGAGAGACTCCTCCTCGCCCCCCCCCCCCGTTCACACCGAAGCGCATGCCAAGGGCACGCTCGGCCGGGCGCGCGCTCTCTCTGGCGTCGTCCCCGGCCGCCGATCCTGGCTGCTCGTCCTGCTCTCTGCCATCTCATCTCACCACATATCATCCCATCAATTCCTCCTCCTCCTGCTCCTCCTCCTTCCTTCTCCTCCTCCTCCCCTTCCTCCTCCTCCTCCTCCTCGCCTTCCTCCTCCTCCTCCTCCTCCTGCCCTTCCTCCTCCTCCTCCTCCTCCTCCTCCTCCTCCTCCTCCTCCTCCTCCTCCTCCTCCCCTTCCTCCTCCTCCTCCTCCTCCTCCTCCTCCTCCTCCTCCTCCTCCTCCTCCTCCTCCTCCTCCTCCCTATCATCTGGCAGCACGGCCCGCCTGGTGCTGCAGCACCACGGAGGGCGTGTGCACGCCCGCCATCCTCGGGCCGCGGAGGGCGCGCGTCGAGGCAAGGGGCAGAGGGAGTTGGGAGCGGCCAAGAGGGGGGTGTCCAAGAGGGGGGGGTGCAAGTCATGACCGGCGGCATGTGCGCGGCCCAGCGGGGGGTCAGGGACGCAATGAAACAAGAAGAGGCGCCATGAAATCTGGGGAAATATCATGGCCCACGCCATGATACCCCCCCCCTAGTCATCACCCCCCTCTTTTCTGCCCCCGAGGGAGCGGGGGAGGCGAGGTGAAGCGGGGCGACGAGACTCGATGCAGGTCGGACACGTCCAGGCTGCCGACGTCGGAGAGCTGCGAGCTCCATGAGGTGATCGGGATGGACGTGCTCTTCGTGGACACTGCGCGGGACAACGAGAACGAGCAGAAGAACGACACGACCCCGTGCCTCCACATATTTGACAGGGGAACCGGCAAGCAGATGGCCGTCAGGCTGCCGCCCCCCACAGGCGGAGTCTGGACGACACATGAAACATACCCGAAGACAAACTCTCAAAACAAGTGTAGTCAAACAAATCGGCCCAGGCCATTCTATTCCCCCCCTGCAGGGGGACAGGCCCGACCTGGGACTAGATGACAGACGACAGAGAACACTGAATGAGGATGAACACACAGGGAACGGTACCCATATTCTTAGATGTGCGCACATACGTTCAATCATAGACACACCTGTACTCTCAAATATAGTTATATAGATATATAGAAATGTAGGGATACATAACGCTATACAGAGAGAGAGAGGGAGGGAGGGAGGGAAAGAACGAAGAAGAACGAGAGAAAGAGAGAGAGACCGAACACGGAAAGACGAAGGGGAGATGAAGAGGAGAAGAACAATGCCGATGACGGGGGTGCGCAATGCGCTGAATGCAACAGAGAGGCCAGACGAGCTGTCGCCCTGCACGTACCTTCACGAGTCTCCGATATCCTCCTCCTCCTGCTCCTGCTCAGCTCCTCCTGCTCCTGCTCAGCTCCTCCTGCTCCTGCTCACTGCTCCTTCTGCTCCTGCTCCTGCTGCTCTTCCTCCTCCTCCTCCTCCTCCTCCTCCTCCTCCTCTTCCCTCCTCCTCCTCCTCCTCCTCCTTCTTCCTTCTCCTCCTCCCCCTCCTTCTCCTTCTCCTCCTCCTCCTCCTCCTGCTCACCCTCCGCTCCAGCGGGAATGAGAGAAGCCGAAGGACGGGGACTGGCTTAGGGGGAGAAGCAGCGACCTGGAATCGCTTGCAAATCGGCCGCAGGCCCCCGACAGCGAGCCCGGATGTTCCTGGGGGGAGTGGGGTGTCGGGGCCCCGATCGTCACCGAGCGCGTTCCACTACTCGCAAAGTGCCTACTCGCGAAAACGTCGATAAAACGCAAACTCGCCGCGTTGCAATGGAGATCGTGTCCCCCGCGGTGGATCGAAGAGGCCATTTGAGAGTAGTTCCTTTGCGAGTAGTTGAGCGCGCTTGTCTAGATCGGCGACGAACGTAAACGTTTCTTATTCGGCGCATAGACGTTGGGCAGAAGGGGGGGGAGGGGGTGGCTGGCTCCGGACCTCTGCTTGATGCGACTCCTTGCAGCAGTGCGTTCGATTCCATGCGGGAGACTCCACCTGCTCGAGACAGGCGCCAAAAGCAGCCAAGAGCTGCTCCAGGGAGGGGCGGGGAGGGGGGGTGCGAGGGCCCGCGCCGATCGGCGAAACAACGAAACACACAGATCAATACACACACAGACAGCAGGACCCCCCCTGTTTTCACACATCTTCTGGGTCTTTACCCTCCCCCCCTCCCACATGCACATGTTCCTGTTTCTCTCGGGGGAATCGACGATTCATTGTGTCTGTGTGTGCTTTTTTTCCCTCCTGGGAATAAGAGAACGATCACTATTCGGCGGTGGACAAACCTCCCTTTCGTAAACCTCCCCTTAGTGAAAACGGCCTGGGACCGAAACCGACGGACCTGGACCCGCAAAAATGACGGCCGCGACGCCCTCTCGCGAACCGAAAACGGCCAATTCATTAATCATTCCTTAATCGACGTGTCAGGGTAGGAGGCCTGTACTATCTGGCGGCCGATGCCTCCCCACCTGGGCCAGTCCCCCCCCTGACTTGGTGGTCCCCGAACGTGGTGGTGAGAAAACCCGGTGGTGAGTTTTGGGCGATTTGGGTCATGGTTTTCGAGCGCTGGCTGGCTCAGGAAACGCAGAACCTCGTGGCGACCGCGTGTCCCCAAACCCGGTGGCGACCCGGAATTATTTCTTTGGGGAATCGGGGTCACCACCGGGTGTCTCACCACCTGGTTTGGAGACCACCGACTGACGCAGCCGCCGACCCTCCGCTCCCTGGTCTCCGGGCCGGTGCTCGGGCCGTTGCCCGCTCCCGGCACGCTCCCGGCACGCTCCCGGCCCCCCGCCGGGAGGACCGCGGCGAGGCGCGGCGGCTGGAAACCGCCCAGGCCTCGAAGCGTTGCGCCCAATCTCGCATCCGAGATCCTTCCGATGATCCTCCTGCTCCCGATCCTCCTCCTCCTCCTCCTCCTTCCTCCTCCTTCCTCCTCCTCCTCTTCTTCCTTTTCCTCCTCCTCTTCCCTCCTCCCCTTCCTCCTCCTCCTCCTCCTCCTCGTCCTCCTCCTCCTCCTCCTCTTCCCCTTCCTCCTCCTCCTCCTCCTCCTCCTCCTCGTCCTCCTCGTCCTCCTCGTCCTCCTCGTCCTCCTCGTCCTCCTCGTCCTCACCTTCCGGCCCAACGGAAGAGATCGGGGACACACTGACCCGGGTCCGTGCAAGCCCGGGTCAGTCAGTTCCTGCAGGAGCCTGCAACAAGACCCTGGAGGAGCCTGCAAAAAATCCTGAGGGGACCTGCGCGCAGACCCGGGCCACTGTGCACCCCTAGCTCCGCAAGATCCTGCAGGATCCGGCGCTCTGGCTGATCCCTGTTTGCATCGACCCCCGTCTCCTCCTCCTCCTCCTCCTCCTCCTCCTCCTCGACGCTCGCCGTCGAGCCTCTCCCATCGACGCCACGCGCGCGCAGCGAGGGCCGATGGACGCAAGCGCCGGCTCCTGCCCACCACGTCGCACCAGAGGCCTCCGGCGTTCACCACGAAGTCGGCCACGGTGCGGTTCTCCTCGCCCTGGCGGCGGGGGAGCGAAAGGCGGAGGCAACGGCCTCCGCCTCCCCCTGCTCCCCCCCCCCACTTCCATCTCCTCCTGCTCTTCCTCCTCCTCCTCCTCCCGCACTTCCTCTCCCTCCTGGCGTCCCCCTTGCCCAATCCCTCCCTGCCTCTTCTCCCCTCCCCCTCGCCCCAACTGACAATGGCTCTGTGAGACATTATTCTTCCAGTTCTCAGCCGGACCCGACGGATGAGGAGACCGATGTGGAGGAGGCGGATGGGGAGTGAGGATGGGGAGGAATAGGACGGAGGATGACGTCGTGGCAGAGCGGAGGAAGGATTTGGAAATACAGGAGAGAGGACAACGGAGGACGTGGAGGAGGGTGAACAAGAGGAGAGACGGGAAGAATCAGGATGGGGATAGATCGATCCCTTCCTCTCCCTTCTGTTAGAACACTGCCTGACCTGGAGCCAGAACCATACGCTGTTGGGCGCTGCCGGAGCGTGCGGAGCCTTGCTGGCCATCAGACCGTCGATAGCATACGAATGCACCAAGCCCTGTATCGAGCAACCTACTCGCACCAATCACTAGCTTGAGGTCGGGCCTGTCCCCCTACAGGGGGAATTTCGATGAACAATGAAACATATTAAAACAACACTCTGAAATTGTCAAACAAAAATGCTAGAAAAATAATCCCCAATATCTTTTTTGACTATGTTTGAATATTCCCCCTGTAGAGGGACAGGCCCGACTTGACTCTAGCTATGTACGAAGATGAAGGGAAGAGAGCGGGGCGACACATGCAAGACAGACGAGACCATCATACTGGAATCGTAGTCGCTTGATTCCTGTAACGTTGCTCCATTGACGCCATGAGATCTCGTGTGCGTCATCCTCCCATCGATCAAAGAAACGGCGGGGCTCGCTTGGACCTAATACATATGTTTGATCTCACCTATCTGCTCTATCCAATAGCCTAATCAATTTGTGAACGTATCGACCGACACCCGGCGGACAACTAACATTTTCGGTTCATGCTCCCCCTTTGAACCCATCTTTGTGCCGTCTTTAGGGCCTGTTGGGCCGTCTTGGGTGCCCCCGGAACAATCTTGGAGCCCTGTTAGGCCGTCCTGCGGCCTTCCTAGGGGCCTCTTGGCCCGTCGTGGGGCGGTCTTGGAGGCCTCTGGGGCCGTCTTGTGTTGTCGGAAGTTCGAACCATGCAAGATAAAACATATAAAACCATGCAACACCTTATAAAACATAACCAAGCACATATTATAAAACCATGCAACACATAAAATTATATTGGGGCCCCCCCAAAACACTATGAAGCCATGCGGGACCAAACTTTGCCGCCTCTCGGGGCGCTCGTCTGGGGCCGCTGGCGCCCACGGAAGCCTGCCCAAGGTCGTCCTGGCTCAGCTTTGGAGGGGAAAAAACTATGCACATACACCGATTCTGGCCAGGCTTACGTCGGGCCTGTCCCCCTAATTACAGGGGGACTTTGGGCGAACAAAATTCAAATACTTAAAAAATGCCCCCCGAATGGGAAAAAACTGATAAAATAGCCCCCAGACTATTTTCTAACTATTGTGGAATATCCGTCCTGTAGAGGGACACGCCCGACTTAAGGCCAGGCCCATCCTGGGCCCAGGATCGGTGCATACGCCTTCCTACCTTGGCCAGGAAGGCATATGCACTGATCATGGGTCAAGGATGGGCCTTGCCAGGATCGGTGCATGCGCATGATTCTCTTCGCCTGAAGCGTAGAAACTCTCGGAGGCCGTGCGGAAAACATCTTCGGCGCTCTCGGGGCGTGATGCAACGGTCCGGAAGACTGCCGCACCAAGCTGTGGGCCACCTTCGCGCCCACGGGGCCACTTTGGGGGCCACAGGGTGCCCTTGGCCCCCCCCGGGCGGCCATGCGTACCCGTGGCCCTGGTCCTGGGCAAACCTGCGGCCTACTCCGATATAGACGTATATATACATACATACATACATACATACATACATACATACATTCATTCATTCATTCATACATACATACATACATACGTACTTACGTACGTACGTACGTACGTAAATACATACATACATACATACATGCATGCATGCATGCATGCATGCATACCTACATACGCACATACATATACATATATATATATATATATATATATATATATGCATGTACATGTACATGTACATGTACATAGACATAGACATATATACATATACACACGTATAAACAGGTCACCGCACGCACCATGACACCCCCCTGTCCTCTTGGAAGATTCTACGAGGAAAAAGGCGGTTGAGGTGCGTGCGAGGGCCGTGGAGGCGGAGGTTTCGGAGAGGGTGGGTTCGTGCGTTGGAGACGAAGGGTGTTTTGTGCTGGGTGTTGTGCAGTAGACGGAGGGGATTGAGTAGAAGGTTATCCATGACATCAGTTTGGAGAGGGAGCGTGTTGAGTATGGGGTGTTTTGTTGGAGACGAAAGCAAGTTAGTACTGCGTGTTGCGCTGCAGACGGGGGGAGTCCCACCAGCCCTTTGGGCGTGAGTGGTTTAGGGAGCTCTCTCTGTTCTTAACCCCCCATCTTCCCCTTCGGGGAGGGGTTTACCCCTCCCCCTACCCCCTCCCCCTGGACCTGGACAGGGAGTCCGGGGTGGTGTCAGGGGGGTCTTTTTCGACACCTGGGAGGGCCAAAAAACGACGACCCTCACGAGGATTCTGGCCCCGACGGGGGGGACCGAGTTTGGCCCCTCTTCTCTTCTTTGAACTAAAAATCGTTGATTTTACTACGGTTTCGGCCCCATTTTGGCCTCCTGAGGGGGCCGCGCTCGTCTTCCTTCATAGCAAAATCATTGATTTTACGAAGGTTTTGGGCTCATTTTGTCCTTCTCAGGGGGCAGCGCTCATTTGCGCTTCTGAGGAGGTCGCAAGAAGCCCCAAGATGGCCCCAAGAGGCCCCCAGGAGGCCCCCAGGAGGCTCCCAAGAGGCCTCCAAGAGGCCCCCAAGAGGCCCCCAAGAGGCCCCAAGAGGCCCCCAAGAGGCCCCCAAGAGGCCCCCAAGAGGCCCCAAGAGGCCCCAAGAGGCCCCCAAGAGGCCCCCAAGAGCTCCAAGAAGAGGCCCCAAGAGGCGAGGAGCCCGCTCACACCAGGACGAGGGCCCGAACGACTCACACCACGAAGAGCCCGAACGACTCACACCAGGAGGAGGGGCCCGAACGACTCACACCAGGACGAGGCGCCCGAGGAGCCCGAACGACTCACACCAGGACGAGGGCCCCGAACGACTCACACCACGAGGAGCCCGAACGACTCACACCAGGAGGAGGAGCCCGAACGACTCACACCAGGACCCCGAACGAAGAGCCCGAACGACTCAAACCACGACGAAGAGCCCGAACGACTCACACCAGGAAGAAGGGCCCGAACGACTCACACCAGGACGAGAGGCCCGGAGATATGCGGGGGCAGGCGGAAACACGCCTGAAAAACACGACTGTCGGCATGCTTCGCAAGAGTTGCTGTTTTGAGATGGGCTGGTGGGGATACGCGAAGCGTGAAGAATTTAATAGAAGGTGAGTAAGTTCAGCTTGGGTAGGGAGCCTGTTGAATATTGGGTGTTATATTGGAGACGAAGGGCTGATTAGTAATGGGTGTTTGGTTGTAGACGGCAGGTTTTGAATATAAGGTTATGTTCAAGGTCAGCTTGGGGAGAAAGCCTGTTGAGTAGTGGGTGTTGTGTTGGAGACGAGGGCTGGTTAGTACTGGGTGTTGTGTTGTAGGCTGAGTGGGTTGACTAGAAGGTTTTCGTCAGGTTCATCTTGGGGAGGGGGCCTGTTGAGTATTAGGACGTGTGTTGGAAAAGAAGGCTGGTTAGTAACAGCTGTTGTGTTGTAAACGGAGGGAGTTGAAGAACACATTATTTTCAAATGCAGCTTAGAGAGGGAACCTGTTGAGTGGTGGGTGCTGTGTTGGAGACGGAAGGGTTTGAGTAGAAGGTTATTTTCAAGTTCAGCTTGGGGACGGAGCCTGTTGAGTGGTGGGTGCTGTGTCGGAGGCGAAGGCTGGTAAATACTGGGTGTTGTTTTGTAAACGGAGGGTTTTGTGTAGAAGGTTCTTTTCAAGGTCAGCTTGGGGAGAAAGCCTGTTGAGTAGTGGGTGTTGTGTTGGAGACGAAGGCTGGTCAGTACTGGGTGTTGTGTTGTAGGCTGAGTGGATTGATTCGAAGGTTTTCGTCAGGTTCATCTTGGGAAGAGGGCCTGTTGAGTATTGGGTTTGATGTCGGAGACTGAGACTGTTGAGTACCGAGGCCGAAAAACCCTTGAACAAATACGCTTCACATTTTATAACGAGCATCGTAGCAATCATGCGTGGATTCATACACTCAATACAGACATGGGGATCCATGGTGCGCGCGGAAAGAATTTTGTAGATTCCCTATACCGTGTTTGCATCTATGTTGTCGCTGTCGCCGCCCCGTCGCCGCCTCGTCGCCGCCCGTCGTCTGGGCTGGTGTAGCGATCTGGAAGATATGTTGCCGCCGTCGCCGCCCAATCGCCGCCTCGTCGCTACCCGTCGTCTGGGCCGGTGTGGCGGTCTGGTGGCTGTTGCCGCCGACGCCGCCCCGTCGCCGCGCCGTCGCCGCCTGGAGTCTGGTGGCCCGTCGCTGCTCCGTCGCCGCCACCCACACGGCCGATCCCAGAAACCTTGCACCCAAACATGTTCTCGTCGCTTGGGGGCACATTCTCTTCTTCCGCCAACTTTCGCCGCCCTTCCGCCGGCTTCCGCCGGCGGAGGCGGCCTCGCTTAATTTCTGCCGACCTTCCGCCGCCTTCCGCGGGGGAGGGAAAGATGACAACTCCTTGGATCATCGAAGGCAAGGCCGTTTCTGGAACGCCATGTATCCATGTATACATGTATATATATATATGTGTGTGCGTATATATATATATATATAGCGAAAGAGAGAGAGAGAGAGAGAGAGAGAAAAAAAAACTAGAACCATCGTGCGCG